GTCCTGACCCGTCATATTGTCTCCAGCTTTTTTTTCTCGCCAACTCAATGCAGCATTCCCCTGCATTTTCTGTAGATGTTTTCATAGTTTTTTTTCTGATGAACATTTCATTTATTTATTTCGCCATGTTTCATTCATTTCATTTGGATTCTAAAATTGCTAGGCGTAACCATAAGATCTATTCAACCAATGGCTTATTTCGGACATATCACTTGTTGTCTTGTGTATTTAGGAATCCTTTTCTATCATTAACCTTTTTATTCAACCTCAGTTTCTTCTTTGCGTTTTAGTGACTTTAACGCCCTGCTTGGTGGTGAAATTATTTAAAAAATCGATTATTGAATCACAATGTTAAGGCGTATAGTAAGATGATTTTGGAATAGGTTATAAAGCGCACATATACCCGCACGTACACCTATATGTAATATATATATATATATATATAACGCAAATCCTGTGACCCATCAAGGTTAGTGGTACATCATACACTGCAGCTGCAGTAGAAGTAGAGGTTTCTTGGGTAAGATAGTCCGACGGAGCCCAACCCGTTCTTGAATAAAGATATTCCTTCTCATAGACTATAGAACACAGTCTGTCCTGCTATTTACCCATAGCTGGAGAGAAACGAAGAGTATTTATATATGTAAGCAAATGTAAATGGATATAGATCCGACAGAATGAAGAAAAATTTGAAAAAAAACTAACCAAAAATCCTTAAATGCAATTATATTGTTTAAAATGAATGAAATGTCGACGTCTGACGTTTCGGTTTAATAAACCTTCTTCAAGACAATATTCATTAAAATGCAATTCAGTTCAATTTGACAAAGACGATGGGCATAAAAAACAAGTCTTATCCAAAACAGATAACTGAAAATTTTTAAAATGATCAGCTTTCCGTTTAGCATGGTCACGTTGTCGTCACATGGGCGACGCTTTTCAAAACGTATTCCTAAAATTTATTTATATATATATATATATATATATATATATATATATATATAAAAAAAAGAGTCAGTCGATTACAAATTTAATTTAAAAATGATTTTGTGTATAACCTATCAAGTATAATATTAATTGATTTAAAAAAAAAACTTGAAAATAAATATATAATCTTCGATATGCTTGTATCTTTGAGCATAAGGATGGTTACTTTCTTTCACCCGCCTAAATAGATAAATATACGAGATATCACTAATAAGTTCAGAATTTTACCCGTCAGCCAAATCTGTCCGAATTGCCAAATATCTTCATTTAGAAATGAAACCCTACATACTCAGACCAAAAGTTTTTCGTCACTGCCTTATAAATCGAATGATGGATGAATATTTATATATACGTGTTCATGCTTTAAATCATACACTCATCAAAGTATATAAGTACAGAGTGACCATTACTTGATATGGTATCGAGCGTATAATTTGAGAAAAAAGCATTCGATGCTCGATCAGAATTGGTAATATTCGACTGCAAAATATGGCCGAATGACTGATGCATTTCAGTGATAGATAGTTATGATACTTCGGGTTTCCATAGTTAGTATAGTGGGGAAACTACTTAGGATGGTACTTATGAAAATAAGATAAGCATTATACTAGGGCAGAGATTTGTACATATCTATTCATTTGAACATATGCTGGCTCATTCAAAAGCTATGCTGTATATAGTAGTTTAAAATTTAATCTTGGTATGAAGTCCGTCTTGTAAAAGTTCACTTATGATTATAAAACATTAAAAAAGACAGCGCTAAATGAGTTCACTCTATTTTCAAAGACATCATATCAATGGATAGGTAATAAAGAAAAAATACCCGTGTAGATCCATAATTCTCAACATAATAAAATGTCAGGGTATTGACGTGTGGGATTAACCCCGTTTTTCTGTTTTTTTTATAGGGTAGAGTTTGACGGAGCAATAATAACGCTTCATTTATGCTCCGTAAGATAGATGCGAAAACTACAGGACTTCTCTAGCTAATACTATTTACCCCGTCCCCTTGTGAGCCGTCTTAATTTCCCCCTCACCCTCGGCGCACGCACCAGCACACACGAAGATAATTTCCAACAGGAAAGCGTATAATGCTTTTCTCCCAATTTTCAACAATGTGTGCACATATAAGTATATTTTCTCTGTTATTTCATATATGAAAAAATATATGTATAATTTATTTATTTTGAAAACGTTAAATTCATTTATCTGATACAAAGTACTCCTGCTACAAACTAGTGAAAAGAACCAACTTGTCCATTTTATTTCTTTATTCCCTATTCTACCCAAAAGTAAAACTATGGCACACACCTAAGTCAGTGAATAAATTGAGCTGCATGGAGCCACTATAGTGTCGTCTTCGATTAGCCTGGCTATAAATCCTTTCTGGTGTGTGTTTTCGATTAGCCTGGCTATAAATCCATTCTGATGTGTGTCTCCTTATAGTTAACGAATATATTGTTCAACAAAACAGTTGAAAGAAAGTAGTTGCCTTCCCAAGATATTTAATCAAGATTCTCGAATATTCAGTTAAGTTTATGATCCAGCCATTTTGCATTGTACGCTTTACGTATTAGTTCGTATAAAAATAGACACACATAGATATTTACTAAGCTTAGATTAGACTGTCATAGGACCATCTGTCGATTTTCGGTCTAATGGCTACAGTGACGGACTTGGTAATTACAGCTCCAGAGTAGATACCCACTGATAGCTACAAATAAATGGCGTACAAGAAGATTCAGGTGAAACACACCTACTAAAACATACGACATTCTGAATATGAATTTCAATACATTTAATATTAAACATACAGGAAATATAAATGATGATGTTCTAAGCGTGGTTTAGATATGGCACAAGGCTAAAAGTGCAGAACATCCAGTGAGGAAATAATTTTCTAAACGTAGTATAGTTGTGGCACAAAGCCGAGAGTATGGTGCAACCAGTCAGGACCGACCTCACTATTCCGCTGTAACTGATCTAACGAGATAAGCTTGAAAGATTTTCTAAGCGTAGCTTGGATGTAGCACAAATCAGAATGTGTGGATCGAACTCCCTACTCACAAGTAATTGATCTAGTAAGACAAGGTTGCTAACTATTACACCAGGTTGAAGTGGACATATGTCAACATAGATTGGTTACAGATTGATCGCCTATCTGCACATATGAAGGTATATCGATATTAAGTACATATCCTTCTGAGATGTTCATACAGGTATCTACTATCACATGTGTACACGATCGTATACAAGCCTAATATCGTTTTAGGATGCCGTATATACTCGCGTATCTTGCGACAATTGAAGACTTTTAAAGCTAATTTGATTACAGTAAATGGATACATAGTTTGGTCAACGGTGTAGCCAGAACCAGCATTACATACGCTAATTTTATATCTCATGTATGATGTAACCCTAAAAAATTTTATATACGGTATATGATAAGAAGCCTCGATGAAATTCTGATGTATTACAATTTCTGATGAAACTAATTTAACTGAACGATTAGGATTCGTAACATAACATTATATCTAGAGATCGTATTGATCAGATGGCTTATCAAAACTCTTATCGAGTTTGGTGAATTTCATATAGGCAGGCATTATTCTACTGGCTATCAACATCGACACGCTGCAGCAGGAATTTTATTAGAAGAGTTTTAGAAATGTTTTGAACTTAGATGGAGCTGTTCAGCGTTCCTTCATTCAAACATCAAATAGGGATGTTCACTTAAGTCATCCTACCACATAATGATTTGGTTTGGTCCTGAATGTCGTGTGTGGACACAATTTGCATCGACAACGCATTTCAGTTGCAGGAAATTATCATGTCGTTAGTTCAATTCTAGGTAGTGGTTAAGCGAAAAAGATCCTGGAGTAAACGACATGAGCCAACTTTAACCAACTCAAATACAGGTCTTCATCCTAAGAAAGTCATGCTGTACATCTAGTGGCATTGGAAAGGAATCCTGTACTAAGAGCTTCTGCCAAGTAACCCGTCAATTAATTTTGAAAAGTTCTTGCAAAAAGAATCCTTTCTTGCAGTACTAAAAAATGTAATAATTTTGGTGACATAATAAATCTACTTAATGAGTTCTTTGCAAGAAACAATCGAAATTCTGGGAAGATGGAATGATTAAGTTGAAGCAAAATTCGTGAAGGGTTGCGCAACAAAATGGTTCATATTTAGTTGAATAAATATTTAATGGCATAATTTCGTTTTGTGTTTTAATTTCCCTTAAAAATTGGCACGAACTTTCCTGACAACCCAATATGAGTAGATACAAAAAAAAACTTGAGCGGGAGGGTTTTATAAGGCATAATTGAAAAAAAAAAACGAAAAGGAAACATAGCAGAGGGAAGACAAGGCAAGGAAAGTCAGGTTTGAAGATCACATAAAAAAACAGCCGCAAACACTGCCATGTATTAACGAAGAAATGAACACAATTTGCTAGGGGCAAGAGTAATATTATAAAAAAATATATATTTTTCAAAGATGTTTTGCTTTCGCTGCTTGCAGCATTCAAGATTCAGCCAAGGTCACGATTGAGCAAAAGCCGTCATTAGAAGTTGTTTTTTTTATTTAATAAGCTTTATATCATTTTGTGTTAATGTATTTGTTAAATTTGTTTTATTAGAAATTTGTTCCCGGCAAAATGATACAATCTAAAGTAACTGGTCGTGTTTAAAAAGGACAATATGAATTACTAACATAAAAAAAAACCTATAGGAAAATATGAAAACTGTTTTGACAGAAGAAAGAAAGGTACAAAGAAAGTGAGAGAAAAATTAAGAGAAAAAGTTAAAATAAATAAAGCGAGAACAATTAGGAAAAAGAGAAAAAATGATTACAATGAAAAATGAAAAGAAAAAAATTAGTAAGAAAGAAAGGGACACAGAAACAAATTTAATGATTTATTATTATTATTAATTATTATTCACCATCATCAATAAAAATCATCAACTTTTCAACACTTAAAATGCAAGAAGATATGCATATGGGCCCATTACTTTGAAATACTTGTTCCCGTACGATCACCAAAGTTAAGCAACTTAGATCCTGCTCAGTCACTAGATGAGTAACCGCTTGGGAACGCCAGGTGCTGTAGGCTTGAATGTGCTGGTGGTGCAATGGAAAATGGCTCGGAAATATCAATTGGAGAGTTCCAATTCAATTTATCTTCGTTATATTAACTTACAAGCAAATATACTTGGAAAGAAGTGAATTCCCTCCTAAATGGGTTCTACTTCAGTTCAATTCATAGGAAGACTGCTGATCCCCAAGGCTCTATTTTGCGTCCTAAACTGTTTCTGATGTTCATAAACGGTCTTTCTGATATCATCGGTTCTCAAGTAGGCATCTACGCAGACAGCACCACCATTTAATCCTGTTTCAATATTAAAGTTACCCTGGCCGTTTGTTTCGAAAACGACCTTCAATGTGGTTGACTTGTGGAAGGAAATGGCTTGGAAATTTTAATGCCTCCAAAACAAAACTGTTCCCATTTACTCATCAAAGAAATATCTCCATGCGCCTTATTAGCGTGGCGGCTAATCAACTTCATTTGAGCGTCTCACTCCACTTGCTTGGTTTCACGTTTTCCACTGACCTGAGGTGGAACAACTATACTGAATCAATAGCTACATCTACCGCAAGGAAAGCTGGTTATTTCTGTCGCACCAGAAGATTTTTCTCGTCTGAGTCCATCCTTCAAATCTACCATTAATCTTGCATTGAAAACTGTTGCCATATCTGGTCTGGTGCCCCCGCTCTTCATATGATATGCAATGTGATAAGTCCTGACCTGGCATCTCAACTCCAGTCACTTTCTCACAGGCGTGATGTGGATTTACTGTCTTTTCTACAAATATTTTCATGGAAACTGCACTGACGAGCTATTTTCACTGAAGGTCCAACTTCATGAATTTAAGCGTCATTGACTCTGTCCCACAGTTTTATTGTCAAAGCAGAATTGCCTCTTCTATTTCAGCAGCTTCTTCACTAGTACTTCACAACAGTGGAACTCTCTTCCGCTTACTTTGTTTCCCTGATAACTATAATCTTCAAAGATTTAATTGTAATTTCAATCGACATCTTCTGATACCCTGTTCTTTTACCGCTTTTCCCTTTACCTTTTCCTCAAATACCCCACATTTCTCTTACTTTCACTCTCTGAAACCCCTTGCGTGTTAGTGGCACTCCCGAATGTTTGAACTGTAATGCTTAAAAAAAATTAAAAAAATATAACCTGGAAAGTGTTGATAAGCAGTAAAGTACGAACTAATCAAAGCATAAAGATAATTACATATGTCAAAAACTAACGACTCACCTAATGATAATGAAAAAAGTGAGAGTGAAGATACATGAGATTTACACGAAACTTGAGTAATTGCGCTTACTAGTTAATCTAAAGTAAAAATTCACGATGCGCGAGATCACCATCATGTTTCATTTGCATGCCATTCAGGCTGGATGCGTTTAATTCGTTGTGTTACGTTGATTACCACCTGTACAACCATATCCCTTTACAGATGTTTGACAAAGCCTTGTATTGTTTTATATATCATATTCTTGTATAAAATTTGTAAACAACATTTGAAGAAGACAGATCTACTGCCGGAATATTTTTAAAAACACTGATAAGCACTGTGTCCTTTCTTTTTCTTTTCGTATATTGCGCTCTTCTCTAATTGTTGTAATACTACTACAACGACTATTGCTAATACCACTACTATTATTAATAATAATAATCTATAAAATAAAAGATGAGCTGATAGGCTGTCTGCTACACGTTGACTGTGGCTTTTTATGAGCCGATGTAATAATGTAGATGCGTATATCTATGAGGGAATTACATTTGATTGGTGTCATCCAATGTATAGATAAGCACACATACACTGACGCATACACACCAAATTTGACTAAGTTATTAATTCGACATTCGAATAATACATTTTCTTCCACCCACTCTGCGCAACACTTGCCCTGGGACTGGCAAATGCAATAATAAATTTTGCGGCAAAAGAAAAATGATTTTTTAAAAATCAGATAATTTTAAGATTTAATCAAACTTTACGTAAAATATGCAGTAATCACTATAATTCTATTTTTTAAATATTTTTGTTGAAATATTTTAAATCAGTCATTGAATTAAGACACCAACGTGCATATACATATAATTTAAATTAAACTTGAAAACCTACGTCACTAATGCTAATTTTGAATTGCTGTCTGCCAACAACATCTGAGAGTAAAATGCATAAACTGAAATGTGCTGCAATCAATTCTATGACTTCTATAATCGGAATATTTTTTCATAATAAATACAGTATTTTAAATGGACAAACAAAAAATGGAAATGTCATCATTTTGGCTTTCTTCGAAAGGACAGGTACCGAAATAGTAGTAGTAGTACTACTACTACTACTACTAATAATAATAATAATAATAATAACATACATTGAATTTAAAAAATGTGGTGCATAAAGGCAAATAGTTCAAGTAGCGTTTGGATCCTTCAGTTTCATTGGAAACGGTTCAGATAGACTCATTTTATGAGTCCCTGGTAATTCATGACTTACAGAAAATTGTTCTCGCAAGTACAGCTGACACCATTCGAAGGGCTTTATCAATGTAAAATATGTATTAAGATATTAAGTTGTTTTATTTCTATTTCTGTTACAAAAATGTTCAGTGAACATGTCATTATGCCATTTCTGACTTTAGGTCGCTTGTTAGGGTCCGAAAGTAAATGAATATGCAATATATATATATAATAAATAAATAAACAAATAAATACATAATAATAATAATAATAATAATAATAATAATAATAATAATAATGAATGAATCAATCAATGATGTGCATATGGTGTAATGGACTGCGTTTCGAAATGAGAAACCGGAGAGCCTAATTCGAAATCCACCCGCCTCCATTCCATTCACTTATGCGCAAATACCCTTGGGAAAAGATATAAATCCATTTCTTCCGCCCAGCTATGGGTTAAATAACAGACCAGACTTTGTTCTACAGGGTGCGGCAGAAATCCATCCCAGTATTCCCTTCCACATAATAGTATTCTTATAAAAGTCAGCACAAACAAGCATTATTCTTAGAGGGCGTTTCAGAGTCTGATCAGCTCTGAAAGGGTCGATTTGGTGAGGTCAGTATGATGTTTGAAAGACCCGAAACTGTCCAATGATCCTTTTCTAGAACATCACTGACGACGCCCTCTAGCGCTAAAGGAGCGTATATTCAAAGTGATATTAGTGACACCGGTTTATTATACTAGCTAATTTCTTACCATTCTGTTCCTGGTATTTCTTGACTGTCTATGAAGGTGATAATTCCGTCGGAACCAGTATAATCTTATTGGCAACTATTCTAGAGATTGTAACTTGATAAATATCACGCATATTCCAGCAAGTCTTAGCTACACATGGGGATGCATCAGCCCATCGAAATGCATATTAGCTGAAATTCTTCAATTTTGCCCCGTGCGGTGAAAGCGTTTTTGAGAATACTAATAATGTAAAAACGAAACGTAGTATTAAATATAAGAAATGACAGGGAGAGAAATCAAAGCCTGAAGGGAAATATCGAAGGGAAATCTTGAGGGAAAAAGAGAGTTTAAAACAAGGCAGCCAAAGAAAGAAACATTGTTTCATCATATACGCATGCATACCATCCATAAATCAATGATTTCGGCTCCAGAAATATATCAGGAACTTTTCTGTATAATAAGCTGAGCTTCGCTACGTGTCTCTTGGGTTTAGTAAAGGTTTCACATGTACTTCAGCCTTATTAACATTAGTGTACCTTGGGATACATTGCTGGATGGAGCTCATCTCTCTTCACCTTGATTTTATTCCTCCGGGATTGGTTGCCACCTCAAAACAAGAGTACCCAGGTTATCCTGCTATTTAACCCTGAACCCGGTCGTAGAGAAATGTATACCTTTTCCAAGTGCATTACCGCGAAGTGAACGTAACCGAATCAAGTGACAAATGAAATCACATTACACTATCCACACCTCCTATTAAACAATCAATTTGATTGGTCCAATTGTTAAAATGTCCAGCCCTGAAAATATTAATCCTATAGTGAGATAGATCTCCATAGAACCCTCAAATGTTATTACAAAGCTAAAATAATTAAATAACAACATATTTTTAGATATACCAGATAAACTACTTACATTATTTATATTATTCGGACTTCTATCCTCAACTTAATTGTCATATTCACAACGTTTCGGCCGTTGTACGCTCCGGCCTTCATCAGGTGATTGGAATTTCGAACCGAACCCTTTATTTCGTCCACTAGGGTAGATTGTTCTAATTCCTATACAGATATCCTTAATAACACATGGCATAGTGGATAAAAACGTTGATTATATCCAATGACTAGACCCAAAGAGTTGTGAGTTCAATACCGAGCAACAGCAGTGATGAACCAAACATGGGAATTTGAGGTAAAGAGAAATAACTGAGATATCCGGAAGAGGCATTGAACGTGGAACTAGAACAATCTACTCGGATGAAAGAAATAAAGTTTTAGGCTCGAAATCCCAATCACCTGAAGAAGGTACAACGGAGCGTGCAGCGGCCGAAACGCTGTGAATATAGCAATAAAATGAGGATAACAGTCCGAATAATGTAAATAATATAAGTAATCATGATACCTCGTAGCAGAGATATAATCAGCTACCGGATAGAAAGCTGTAACACTTTTTGCTCACACTGGAAACCCAACATTTGAGAGTTTCCTTGTAGGATAAGCCTAGGAAATATTGATATTTGATTATATAGCAAAATTTAAGAATAGGTGACACACAGATTTGCTAGTAGTGATCAGTACTCCAAGGTTGTCTATCTTGGGATGATTTTAATGTTGTAAATTTAAGATTATTAAATATTAATATAGTTGTAACTGTTCGGGCATCAATGAGTAAGCTATTTTTCAACAATTCCATAATTTGAGTCTCACTACTTGTGAAGAAGGTGCATTCAAATGCTGTACTACACTAAACTTTTTAAGTATTCATCTAGTCACCCAGAACTAGGCTGACGTTTAGCTGCTACCGTTGATAATTGGACCCCGGCTCGC